GTCAAAAGATCACAAATCGTATCTAGTCGAAGACATTACCCTTAAAAATTGAAAAAAATTCCCTCGTTCCCCGTAAAAGGGGGAAACCTCCAAAAAAATTACAAATTTAAAAATCGCTAATTTTCGAAATTTTTTCAATTTTTTTTACTGAAAAGTGCCATAACTTTTTCAAAAATGAACATATCAATATAAATCTTTTTTATATAGATGCATAATATCATTACCTTTCATTTGGTATATTTTTTTCATAAATTTAACCCTTAACCTGCCCACAAGGGGGGATTTAAAATGACAACTTTTTCACAAAAAATTAATTTTTTTAACTTAAATTTTGAAAATGTTCCGGAAGGTCTGACACTTTTATATATATCTTAAATTAAAGCTAATGTAATATGCTTTATCATGAAAAAAAAAAATTTCGGACTTTATCTTATCTTCATGGTGAAAATGGCTACCGAATGCTATTTTTGTGTGAAAATTTTCGATTTTGTATTTTCCATTTTTAACTTTATTATGCTATAACTTTTTGAAAAATGTATGAATCATTACAATTTTTTTATGAGAAGTAGTATTTATATAGATCTTTCATTCGACATACTGTTTTTTTAAATCGGACCATTTCCCTAAATACAGGGGGGATTCAAAACATAAAAATGCATATAGAAAGTAGAACTTTTTCAACGTAACTTTTGAAAGTGTTCCGGAAGGTCTGACACTTTTATATATATCTTAAATTAAAGCTAATGTAATATACTTTATAATGGTAAAAAAAAATTTCGGACTTTATTTTATCTTCATGGTGAAAACAGACATTAAACTTAATAAAAAAAATACGATTTTTGTAAAAAAATTCTTTTTTATATTTTTAACTTTATAATGCTATAACTTCTCGAAAGATGTATGGATCAATATAATTCTTTTTTTTTGTAGATGCATGATGTCTTTACCTATCATTTGGTATATTTTTTTTATAAATCTGACTTTTTACCTGCCTACAGGGAGGGATTCAAAATGACAACTTTTTTACAAAAAATTGACTTGTTCAACTTAAATTTTGAAAGTGTTCCGGAAAGTCTGACACTTTTATATATATCTTAAATTAAAGCTAATTTAATATACTTTATCATGCAAAAAAAAAATTTCGGACTTTATTTTATCTTCAAGGTGAAAATGGCTACCAAATGCTATTATTGTGTGAAAATTCTCAATTTTATTTTTTACATTTTTAACATTATAATGCTATAACTTATTGAAAAGTGTATTGATCAATATAATTTTTTTATGGGAAATACTATTTTCTAATAATCCCTTTTTTATTCTACATACTTTGTCTTAATCAGGATATTAATAAGGAACTAGCAGTTTATGAAGCTTTTGGAATAATCCACCAATTTTTTAAAATTAAACACTATCTAAAGATTTGCATCGAAGCGTTTTTTTTTGATAGTGATTTTAATCACTGTCAGATATCATTATACTTGATCCAACTATGCCACGTCACCACTGTGCCGCGACCCCCCTGTGCTGGGTTTTTATGTTTGTTACCACTTTTTCTCAGCTCGTACTGAATTGATTTCTTTCAGCGATACGTCAAAATATCACAAATTATATCTAGTTGGAGATATTAATCTAAAAAATTGAAAATGACATTTCTGAGACATCGTAAAAAAATGAATGTTGAGGACAATTGAATTTGTCTCTTCAATTTATATTTAATGTTTGTTATTGTTGTATTATATGTATTTATTAGGTTAGATTATTATCTATCTTTGTTGTAACTTTATTCGGATTAAAAAATGCCAAAATTTTCTAATTTAAAATCAAAAGTTTTTGAGGGATTTAAATTTTTTACAATAAAAAATGGATATTTTATTTAATTTTGAAGGAATATATCTGCAACTAGATACGATTTATGATCTTTTGACGTATCATTGAAAGAAATCGGTACTACAAGAGTTGAAAAAAGTGGCGACAGATAAAAAAAAAACACATCATAGTAATTAACATCTTCTAAGCTTTGCATGGAAGCTGGCAAATGGGCTCTAAATCAAAAGACTAGTTCGTTCATTAAATTTTACTTGAAATAAATTGTTTTTAATGATGTTTATTATAATTATAATCATCTTAAATTATTTAATTGGAAAAATATTAATTACCATGCATTGTGTAAAGTAAATGACGGATAGCTAGCATTGATATCTTTTCACGATTATATGCTGCATCTATATAATTCACATTCGATTCTAAAAAATAAATGTCATATAAATAATTAGAAACAAAAAATTTTTAAACTAGAAAAAATTATTTTTGTTCCTTTTTTGTGAAATTCGAATTATGCTTCATTGTAAATTATTTTGTTATGTTTACTTTATCATTTTATCTATTTACCTATGATTTCTATACATTCCAGTATCTATAATCTCTTGAGACATATTTTCAAATATTTTTTTATTAATTAAGTCTTAATATGATTTAAACATGTAGAGTCAACTAAAACTTTAATACTACTTAATAAAACATTCTTTCAGTTCAATTTATTTAATTTCTTTTAATATTTTACTGATTTAATGTATAAAAAGCTTAATATATTAATTAAAGCTTAATATATATAGTGGCGAAATAGAAAATAATTTTAGTTGATTACTACCTTATTTTTTTTTGCTTACCAAAACGTTTTTTAATCTTCATCGCAATTTAAGAAAATTGAATTTTAACAAAAAAAAAAAAAGCTACAGCAATTAAAAAATTTATATCCAGCATAATTTTTTATCATAACCCATTCAATTACTCACAGAATAAATATTATTTAAACGTTTTGTTGCTTATTATTCTTGAATTATTAGCTACGTAATACTATTTAAGTTCATCCCTTATACATTTAAGGGTGTCAATTTTGTTTTTTCAATTTGTAACACATATTTTGAATTTAATAAAATGTTTGAGGCTTTATTTAATTAATAAGTGACATTTTATTTCTAACGTGACATTATTTGTTAATTAGATATAAAACATCCAAAATTCAAATTTTAAGTTAATATATTAAGCATGTATTAATTATTATACAAGTATAATGTATAAGAGATTACAAATACAAGTAGCTAATGGACTTTTTACAACGTTGCTATTTGCAGATACAGAGCGTTTATTGTCAATTATTAATAGATATAATTTCTGTAATTCTAGTTGCTATTTTTATAAACTCACAACAATGTGCCTTACTACCATTAATAATAAATTCTGCGTATCTGTGGATATCGATGTCATAAAAAAATAATTAGCTACTTGTATTTGTAATCTCTCGTGTATTATACATGAATATTAACTCAAAATTTTGAAAAAAATTACTCTGTGTAGCTAATTATTTCGGCGAAGTTACAATGTCCTATACTCTTTGTTATTACGCTACTACTCGTATATATCTTGAAATGACAATTATACTTTGTCACGTTCGTTATTACGTTGATTGATTTAACTGAATTTAATACTAATTAAAGACTTACCTTTAATAAAAATTTTATAATCATCATCTGAAATACCTTTATTGAAAAAAACAAAAAAGTAATGACACAGCTGTATATGAGGGTATATTTAGTAGGACTTTGACTTAGAAGTATAAGTCTACAGCGTCTAAGAATTATTAAAATTAGAAGAGATTTAACCTTGAGTATTCAAAGCTACTCAAGTGGTACATGTAAATCAAGCATAATTATACTTTGAATTGTAAAAAAAATAATCAGTTGGTAATAGAATGTTTTAAATAATATGTGTAGTTTTCACAAATTTTTATCATTTATTCTAAAAATTTCTGTAATAGAATTTTTGTTTTACATAAAATAATTGATTGAATATATCATATTTAGGGCTTAAATCAAAACTACATCATTCAAATTTTTGTGATTATACAAAAGAAACGAAACGTATCGAATGATAAAATTATAACACTTATTTTGTTATTATTTTCTCTGTGAAATTTATATAAAGAAATAGCCTGAACTCCTAATTATATGCGAATAAGTATTATTACAGATATTTATGTGATGTTTTTAAAAATAATACTTAATTTTAAATTTGTGTTATTAAATAATTTATTTAATTTAGTTAATTATATAATTATTTACAGTAACCTAACTTATTTTCAACTTGACCTTATTTAATTGATAAATTAAATAAATGTCTTCATGCAGTAAAAAGTTATAATAATTTGGTTTTATTCCCAATCAATGCTATTTGTCTTAGTATTATTTAAGAAGATGAAATTTAAGAAGGTTGGTATATAAAATATTAAGTACAAAATATATTATATTTATAAATGTATATTCCTGGGACATTTTGAGATTTCATATTGATAAACATTACACCACAACTTAATAAATTAGACGAAAGTGCTGTAATAAGTATTAATAAAGATGTGATAACAATAATTAACAAGATAAAATAATTACATTATTTAAACCACTTATATAATTCACACCTAGATTATAACAAATCCAATAATGATGTTCATATTATTAATATTAGTTTGGAACAAAGTAATTACTACCATAAAAACGCTTCGATGCAAATCTGTAGATAGTGTTTAATTTTAAGAAATTGGTGGATTATTCTAAAAGCAAAATTAACTCCTATTTGTTGTTCAACTTCGACTGTCATTTGCACATAATTTTTTTTTTTAACGTGTATTACATAACATTAGCTTTAATTTAATATTATTTAAAAGACACAGTATTTCCGGAACATTTTCAAAAGTTAAGGTGAAAAATGGCCCGATTAAAAAAAAAAGTATTTTGGATAAAGGTTATGTATATAATTAATTTAGAAACAAAAATTTGTGTTGATTTATACATTTTTCAATAAGTTATAGCAATTAAAAGTTGAAAATATAAAATCAAAAATTTTGACACAAGAATAGCATATTTTGAACTACGGCAGCCATTTGTACGTAGAAGATAAGTCGTCGTGACAGTTTTTTTTTTTAATTTATAGCTTGTAATATAAGTTTTTATTTAATCTATGTTCAAGGGACGCAGTATTTCTAGAACAATTTGAAAAATTAAGTTGAAAAAGTTGCTATTTTGAATCTTCCCTATGATAAGTAACGGGTCAAAATTTCAAAAAAAAAAAATGATACAAATGAAAGGAATATACCTAGGATTTCCATAAAAAATAATATTATGGTACGTTTATTTTTCAAAAAGTTATGGCAGTTTTAAGAAAAAAATGTCAAAATTAAACAATTTTTTCTCCATTGATGAGGGATATTTTTTCAATTTTTAAAGGCAATGTCTTCAACGAGGTACGATTAGTGATATTTTGACGTATGGTTGAAAGAAATCTGTTCGGAGAGAGCTGACAAAAAGTATACAACACACATCATAGTAAAATTAATCTTGTGGTTATATTAGTTTTAAAATTAAGAAAGAACTTTTGTTAATTAAGCAAGTATACAAATTATTCAAAAGTTGTATGATCATCTTACTATAGTCCTTAATGAAAAATCTGCGGAGTACAGATTCTTGTTTTGCTACATGTTGGTTATAATATTCTGTAATTACAATAAAAAAAGATAAAATATCATAGGTTAAGAACTACCTAGAATCTATAAATATTTAGAATATCGAAAAGATCAGTGAACATTTATTTTTAAGTACTTATTGATTAAAATTAACATTGATACATAGCAATAAAAACTGCCAAGCTATTGACTTAGCCACTACAGCTACCGATATCGTAATTTATTAAAAAATAAATTATCATGTAATGATAATACATTATAATAAAATCTAGTTTAATTGGTTTTATTTAAAATTAAATCCATTTTAGAATTCTTTTGAATTAAAAAAAAAAATTCACCTGTATTTCGAATTTGCTCTATCTCTGTAAAAATAAAAACAAATTTACTAAATATTTTTAAACATTTTTACTATATCTGTACATTAAAGTTAAACTATCCCAAGTCAAATTATTTAGAAATGAGGTAAAACTATATTTGTAGTGTTTATTTTATGAGGATTCCAAAAATAATTTCTACTCATTAAAAAAAACAGAAGCACAGTGGCGACGTAGAATAGTGGGATAAGTATAGATGATATCTGACAGTGATTATTATCACAAATTTCCAAGTTTTCATAAAGTTAAAAAAACTTTTCTTAATTTTGAAGAGGCAAAAAATCAAAATTAGTATAAATTTATATTTAATGTAAACACAAGATTCATGTAAATTTTATATTAATTGATGGACTCATTTCTATGGCAAACTCTTAAAGGTGTTTTAAAATAAACAAAGAATAATAAAATTTGAATACAGAATATCATGTTTTTTAACTGCGGCAGCCGTTTGTATGTAGAAGATAAGTCGTCGAGACAGTTATATATTTTTAAATTTATATCATGTAACATAAGCTTTAATTTAACATATGTTTAAATGACGCAGTATTTCCGTTGTTTTGGTATAGAGTTAAAAATGTCTAATAATTAATGAAATGTTGCTACATTATTTATGTATAATTAATTAGTCTCGGTGTCGCTGGAAATGAAAATCCTGACTTTCTATCCAGGAAATGAGCAGAGAACACCTATGTTGGACCAGAACCAGTGGTAGGACTTATTGAGCAATCGCTCAAAGCACTACCCAAGAATTAGTGCAGAGAACAACACAGGAAAATTTGTAAGTACTTAGTAGTAACTAGACAATCTAAAATGTTTATCAAGACCCCCGGTCTACTGTTGGGTGATCTGAATAGCACGACTAGACATTAAATAAGCATTTTGATCGGAATCACCATTGTGCACAATGTGTGGAGTAAAAGAGGATAACTCATTTCACATTATGTACAAATGTGAAGCCTTGTCCATACTAATATAAAACTACTTCAGTAAACCTTTTCCTGAAAAAGAAGATATTAAAAACCTAAGACCCAGAGAAATACTTAATTTCGCCGAAAACACAGGACTCTTTGGTTATCCATAGAAGTGACTTGATGGTCCACCCTTATACAATGATAGGTATAATGTAATAACACTTCGGTGATAGCACTTAGATGGATAAACCGAATCCAGACAATTCAGTATGAGGTGAGCACAATAGACCAAAAGGTCTGAGTGCATGGGCATTATGTCCATCTCACTAATAACTAAAACTAAAAACTAACTTGCCTCAAAAACACTTAAAAGAAGTAATAACACGCCAAGTAAAAAATAGAACTAAAGCCTAATTAAATTTTATGTATTAAAATACATTTTATTATTATAATTGTAAGGCTAATAATAAATCTAAGTTGGGTGACTGTAAAAGTCCATGTTGTCGATTTGCATGTCAGATTCGTGGTGTTGAACGCGAGTAGGCTTGAACATAGTAGTTGTGCACTTTTCCGATACGTGTATGGCTCTTAACAACCATTTTTTTTTCAATTAATTAGAGAGTAGGCGCTGCGTTTTAGATGTACACATTGTGTACACATAAAATCAGTCATTATTGACCAATACGCATCTGGAAATTTAGCTTAAAATTATGCACTAACGATGATGCGGTAATGTAACTAGTATTAAGTAATATTAAGCTGGTTTAGACCTTTTTGTCATTATATATGCTGAAAATCGTAATGATTTTCATTCCGTTGCACATTTTTATTAAAGTGATTTAAACAGCTTCTTTCTACAAAATCTTGTTCTCAAAATTAATATTTCTCATCACTTGATAAATGGAAAGACGTTTTTAAATTATAAATTACGTTTTAAATCAGTGTTATCTTGTCTGATTCGGTAGTAATTAAATGTAATAACAATGCCCCTCCCTTAAGTAGTTGTTCATCTAACGTTCTCAAAGATAAGAAAATCATAAAACTGACGCAACTTATCAACTATATGCACAATAGCATATTTGAAATCGGTTCTTATCCAAAATTAATGAAGATATTCAATTAACGAATAGAGGTAACATAACTATTTTAATATTGAATTTATAGACCGCACTATTTATATAACACATACTTTTTACAGTCTATATGTTTAGCGTTAATAAATAGAACATTGTTTCCAACGTACATGGGCTTTTTTAGTAATTTTTGTGGTTTTTGAAATGAATATTTTTTAGTTTTAAATTAATTTTATAAAATATATTTTTAATTTTAAATAATATTAGCCACAAATGATCAATTCTTACTATAGAATTCTACTCTTTTACGTAAAATAAATCTTTTGTTTTTTAGGAATGGATACCCAAAATGCATTTTACAGGATCTTTACTTTCGCATAACAGACTAACAAAAAATTATAAATATACACAATTTATTACAAACAAATTATTTAAAACTTAAAAAATGAACAGTACGCACTCTATTTGCTACACAAAGATATAGGCTACCTCGTATTTTCGTTATTTGACGAATTTTCCTAACACATTAAATCAAGATCTCAATTAAAGGACCAAAATCTTGACGTTGGTTATGAAATTAATTTTAATTTAATACTCAATTTTACTAAAATTGAATAATTTTTTTTTACTAATTAAATTGCAGGCGCTGCGTTTTACATAAAGACATACTACACACTACCAATAAAAATCTACGTCCACAATTACATAAGTTAAAAAAAAATAATAATCTTATATTTCTATCTTAGACAGATACCAGAAAATAAGCATGTTTAAAGTAAGGTAATACATAATTAAATATAATTTTGTCTCGACAGTTTATCGTTAATTTTTGTGTCTATAGTGTGGGGTATGGCTATTTCTTTGGTTATATTGATATTTAAAACTGTTATAACTATTCTAAAATATAGAGCGGAGGGTTAAGTTATTTTATAGTCATTTTTTTAATTAAATCACTTTTTATATTATTAGTTAGTTAAATAATAAGTGACTTTTAAAAAAATAAAGTTGGCACCCTTATAAAGTATACAGGATATATTAAAAAAACTTAATAATAAATAAATCCAGAAATATATAAAATTAAAAAATACCATACAGAATTTTCTTTTTATAATTATTATTTAAGGGGATAGTAATTATTATTTTATTTGAAATAATTCCATAAATCCTTCTAAAAATTAAATATTACAAATTTGTATCGAAGAGTTTTTTATGATAGGGATTTTAATCACTTTCAGATATCATCTTTAATTATCCCCATTGTTCTGAACTTTTGTTATTTATTATTATGTATATTTTCTTTTACTGCGCATAAATCCAACTGGTTTTTATTACTGATATCTCATTTCTTATTCTCATACCTATTTCCTTTACTCAAATCCTCATATTTGACTCATAAGCTTAATGCCTCTATTTTTTACATACTTCTATATATATCCTTTAACTATTGGCACCAGAATACTATTCCTCCATTCCTTTGGAATTTTCTCTTCTAATAGGATTTTATTAATAAGTTCCTTCAACTTCCTTTAGCCAACACCGCCTAATATTTTCCATACTGCTACTGTCACTCCATCTGGTTCTACTACTTTATTCTTTTTAATTGATGCCACAGCCTTCCATATTTCTTTCTCACTGACGAAATCTACGAATTCCTCGAGTAGCTATGACATTCTTGTATTGATCTATATATCCCTCACATATTTTCCTCATTTTCTTTCACTTTCACTTAGTGTCCTGCGCACAACAAATGTTAACTTTACCACCCACCTATTCTTACTTTAAATCTATCTTTCTCTCTTATACACAAGTCCATTCTAGAGTTTATTAATGTTGTCTCTACTTCGTTGACACTACAAGCGTTGGGTAGGTCTGTCATATGACTGCTGAAACAGCTACCACACTAGTTGTCCATCTGGCATCAAACACTTAATTCTTTAGGCCTTCTTTGTCTGTAACTACTATAATTCCTTTCACTTTTGTCTCCGCGTACTTCTGAAATGGGACAATCCGCATAAGTTTTTATCAAGACATATTTTTTGACAAAATTTTATACCGGCTATCAACCTGACGCAACGTTATTAATCGTCTCTTACGACTGACAAAGGAGCTATAAAAGTATTCTTATCCCTTATCCACAGGGAAGATTTATTATAATGTATAATTTGTGTTTGGCATTCACTACTATTGAAAAATTACCAACTTTGCCAAAAGTAATAAAACAAATATTTGTATAACACTTTTTTTTTGCTTTTATATTTTAAGTAGTGTACAACATAAAATATCCAAGAAACATTTTAAATACTTACTTAATGGAATAAATACTGTTACCAATTGTACTGAAATATATTTATAAAGACTCAAAACAAATACCAGAAGTTATTATATAGCTATAAAATTTAAACAAATAAAATTACTAATACGATGTAAATTTAAAATCATTTTTATAGAAAATTCTAATAAAAACTAAGTGACCTCGTAACTCATATAAGAATTTTTTAGGAAATACCCGAGTGCGATTTTATTTTTGTAACCCTCTCTCGTGTTATTTTGGAATCCACCTAATTTTAAAAATTAAAAAAGTTAAAAGGGGCACAACTCACAAATATACGAATGCATTAGAATAGTTAACCAATTTGCACATGTACTATAGACTTATTAAAAACAATTTTTCGGTGAGAACTGAATTTTGTCATTTCTCCTACATAAAAAAAAGCTTCTAGAAATAATAATGAAAATGATTAAGTATTCTATCAAAAATAAATGAATGCATTTAAGTGAAAGTGAAAGAATTTCATAAAAGTCATTAATAAAACATTTTATTATTATTTTGGCTCGACTTTTTGATACATCTAAACTATAGAATATAGTAATACTAATATAATCGGCAATTTAAGTAAAAAAATTATACTTTTCAGTTAATTTAAAACCCCTAGTTATCGAACGCGTGACTTCACTACGTAGAAAACTGAGTTTGAATCCATTGTGATGTGTAATATGGGCGTTGTAGCTATTTGAGTAAAATATTTTTAATATTTTTTGTATAATTTTAATATTAAATAATATTAATCACAATTAATCAATTTTTTTTATTACATATTATTTTGTTGATTTTATTTTAATAACTTTTGCCTTTTCAAATTACGTTGAAAGTATAATTTTAATTTTTAATCATTAGTGTTTGGGACTTTATGCATTTATAAAGTTTATTTTAGTCATCTCGAGTACAAATGATAAGTAGATATTCGTTTTTGTTTTTCTTAATCCTAACGAATGTATATTAAATTGGATTTTAGTTTTTGGTAACGTGAATATAATAATCATTAATAATCTATTTCAATATCGACAAAATATTATTATTATTTCTCATTTAGATAACCAGCGTGGAACATTTTTCCTGATAAATACTATAATACATAATTCATAACAGATATAGCCGTCACAGTGGCAGTTTATTACTACCGCCGGTATTATAATACCAATTTAATGTTGAATTTTTACTTCACATCCAAGTGTTTAAGTAATGCGTGAAACGCAAAAAGTTGATATCGGAATAAAAATTATAAGAAAAAAAATTTTTGTAAATATTTTTTTGACGTATAATAATGATAATTTAAACAAATTAAAGTTAAGATTATTTATACCCGAAGAAATGAAAAAAAATTTATTTTACTACATATTTTTTTGAACCTAATATTTTTTCTCTTTACAAATATTTAAAATTCTCAATAGTTTCTGAGAAAATGACTTTTGAAGTTTTGGAAAAAATTTTAAATAATATATTTTTCTTATCAGTAATGAATAATAAAAAATTGGCTTTAAATGTAGTCTAAGAATACAATAACTATTATTTTTTTTAATTTCAACAAAATGATTTTTGTATCAAAAGTTATATGCGTTTTCACCCGGATATATTAGAACATTTTAATACATCTATTTAAAATATAATATCTCATTTTATCATATAATACCTAGCTTCATAAAAATACACGTAATTTTAGTTTTTTGATAGATTTAATTTTATAAAATATAACCCTTAAATTTAAAATTAACTCTATAATATTCAAAGTAGTGTAATTACCATAATTTTGAGATTTGAATTTGTAAATTATATTTTTTAACACATCATAAAATTCTATAAAAAATAAATAAATTTCAAAGTTGTTTTATTCATAGAAAAATATGTACGCAGTTTTAAAAATCAATATTTTATTACCATCTGTATCTGCATATCTTATAACATTGCCATCTGTGAAAGTTTAATTAAAAAATAATTTATTATAAAATATCAATATGAAATTAAGACGTGATATTTACAAAAAACAAAACTAAAAAATCCTATGTTAATTATGCATGTATAATTAAAATATTATAATCGTCCAAAAAAAAATAATTAAAAAAACAAATCAATGAAAAATAAAAGAGGTCAAAATTTTGCTTACAAAGCAATAAGATTCTACATTAAAGTTTGTAGGTACTCGATATTTTTTATTTCTAAGGATAAAAATTGTTTGTTTCAAAAAAAATTGTGTAATTATGCCGGCGATGGTATTAAATTCTATTTATAAAATTAAGTAAAATTAATTAGCCACAAGTGATCAATTTTTATTATATCTATTTATAAATATTATTTAACTATTGAGAGTATAAAACCGCCTCCAATGATCGCTTTAACAACCATATTTCTAAGGAACATATTAAAATCAATATTTCATATTTGGTTTGTGTTTTTTTGCATATATCAAAATTAAAATTTTGTCCAGCTAGAATTTAGTTTTGGACCACAGTACATTTTCTACTTATGTGCATAAATAGTAATTTAACTAACGAAGGTACAAAGACGGGTACTTGTTGCAATACGTTGAGTTTTCATTCTATCGTAAATGTGACAACGCTACCGATTCCGGATCAGCGCACTATCGCCATCAACGTTGCTAACTTTTTGATGTCCGAGATTCACGGCAAACACCTTGTCGTCAACACCAGTGAAAATGCTACGATTTTATAAGAAGAGTACTTATTTATTTTGTTCTCCTTTTTCGTTTTTTTTTTTTTTTTAATCGCCTGCTGTTGATTAATAATAAACGACCTACGGGTCTCTATCATCTAAACCGGTGACAACTTCGTTAAAGCGACGTAAGTCGTGTTAAAAATGTTCAAAGAACAAATAAAATTAGAGTTAAAAAAAATATTAATATTATTGTTGATATTATTAAACAACACACTGGGTACAGTTATATTATTTAAGATAACATTTTGAAATGTTTTTCACTTATATTGGTGTAGTGTTCAAGGTCAAAAGGGATGCATTACTTTCTCGGTTATGTCGTTTTACTCAATGCAGCATATGGTAAAAATGTTTAAGGTTTAGTCATTGTTAGCCGTCTATCGAGTGAAGCGGACCATTGCCGTAGTACATCTCTTATATTATATAACTTGTTGAAATCACCGATTTTCGAAAAGTTTGTATGACTCTAATCTACATTGAATATTTAGTTGCATTTACTTTGAATTTTTTGCCAATTTCAATGTAGCCTATTATATGCATGTTTACAATTTAATCGCAGTTTAACAATCTATTGAGTAAAATGACCCGTTGCCGTTGCACATCTTTTATATTATATGATTTGATATTTTATATTATATTACGAATAATTTTTAAATCTTTTAAGTACATAAACTATTTCATTCAACAATTATTATATTAAGAAATTCAAATTATATTAAATTTACCTTTTAATAAAATGATTCGATTTATTATTTTATCTGGAAATAATAAATTATTAAATGTATACTAGTATAGTACATACGCTTCACGAATTATTTTATTTTTTGTTCAACTGCTTTACTCATAAAATTCCTTGCGAAACTCTCACTGATATTTCATCAGATTTTTCTAACATTATGTGTCAGTAATTTATATATAGATTTCTCGGAAATATGTATTTTAATTAACAGAGTATACTTTTAGTCATTACACTAGAGAGGTGTAGATTTAGTTAAGCTTAAATGTAGATAATTTATTTTTCGTTTTATTTCTAGATAAAAAAATTACAGTGTTTTCAAAACAAATTGTAGGGTATTAATCAGAACTAAAAATTAACTACTACTTAAATCGCCTATAAAATTTTATTTCCAAAATATTATAACTCGATTTTTACCAAGAATTGGTAACAGGTGATAAAATTGGATAAAATAGGAGATAGTATATCTCATCATTTGTAAATTAAAAAATACCCGAAATTACTACTTTTACTTTATAACAAAATAAATTTTGTTATAAAAAGATAAAATTTGTCTCAATGTGGTATTAATTAAACTAAATATGATAAATAATAAAGTTAATAGGGTTTTTTTTGAAATTATAGGACAAAACGGAACGTAACTTGTCTTACTTTCAGTAAAATTCTAGTAACCACTTATTTGTATGACAATTTTCTTAGAAAAATATGCAAAAAACCGTAGTTTTTATTTATGAAAAAAGATTTATTCTCGATTGTTATATTTAAGTGAGTATTACCTATCTATATGGTGTTATGAATTGAGTAAAATTGTGATATTAAAAAAATAATTCTTTTTAATCTTATAATTTTATGTTTAGTGATAATATAATTATGTAACCCCTCTAAAAAAAAAAAAAAAAAAAAATTAAAACATTAGATTTTAATTATTTTTTATTTTATGATTTTCCTAGAAAAATACTTACTTGACTTTCAAAAAAGGGGATACAAGAAGGATTAAATTAATTAAATTATATTATATAGCTTACTGGTCAACTCAATTGCACGTGCTGCTTCTATAAAAAACCATTTATATGAAAAAATAAATTATAAACTTTATTTCTGTATAACTTTTTAATAAAAATTCTATTACATTATATACACAAAAATATAACATTATAAAAATTGTTTAAAAAACATAAAATTTTTAAATATCACTGAATATTATAATTGTATAATAATATATATTATATCATATGAGATCGGTTGATTATTTTCAGTTCATGTTACATAGAATAACAAACAAATTTTGTTTTTAAATAATAAAAATCGAAATTTTAAATTAATGATGTAATTCATACCTGAAAATTACCCCCAAACGGTATAATTTTTCATTACCCTGATACTTTTAGTGCTGCGAGGTAATTTATTCACTTAAAATTTATTTGTTAAAAAATCAATTTCAACTAAGTCAGGTAACAAAAAAGCTTTAAGAAATGTATATATAAATTTAGTTAGAATGTACATATAAGCACAGTTTAAAGGACCTAACGCTAAGCATCTCTTTATAATGGTTTAAATTTAATCAAATTTTTGATTATATAGATTCTATTATTCCAAAAGCTACTACACTTAAATTTTACGATCATTTATAGTACCTTTCCTTTCTAGATTACTGTGCATGTATTAATAAGGATACCTTGTATGTTTTCACTCTTTTAAAAAATAATTGATTTTTTAAATCAACAATGTATCAATAAAGATATAATCATTGTATATTTTCTCAATGTTTATAAATCATGATTAATTAAATCAAATCATTTATCTCTAGTTTGTGTGTCATTTCAAAATTGAAAATTTGCTCTTAATAACGTGTTTAAATCCCAATTAAAAATTTAAAATCTCAATTTATGATTTTTAATTATATTTACCTATAAGATCATTCTTAGTTATATCAGGAACTCCTTTAACGATGTTCATACAGAAAATAACTAGTATAAAAAACCTGATTAAATTTTTTATAGTTGCCATTTTAATCTGTAAAGTTAAAAATAAAATAAAAACTAACAATTATGATAAAATTTATAAGTCAGATTATTAACTATTGACTAATATTTTTCATTTTTATAATTAAAGTTAAAGAAATGGAATTTCTTATCATTTGGAAATATCCTATCGAATATCTGTTCTTTACCAATGTTATAATAAGATCTTTGAATTATTGACACACATATATTTTTAAGAAGCACGCATTTTTAATCAAATATCAGCTTACAGAATAAAATAAAAAAAATTGTTGCATACTATTTTATAGGTTAAGTAATACTTACTAAATAATAAGTATAGTATTATAAGACTATATTCAGAAATTATGATTTTTTTACTATTTGATATATTTTAATTATATTTTTCAGTGCGCTAAAGGTTTTTATCAGAAAATTGAACATATTTATTAAATTGTATAATTACCTGATGATACCTAAAAATAAAGTGAAATATTTTATGTGACGGTATACGTGTTTTTAAATAAAGATATTATTCTTGAACGCTAATATTAAATATACTGACTAGTTGTTGAATTAAATTTATTTGTATATAAAAATACATGTAAAACTTAGAGGAAAATAAATCTTAAAAACATATTTTTTTCATTATATTCTGTTTAAACTAAATTAATTTTTCATTGGTAATAAATGGATATTATTACTAAATATTAGATATTAGTACTTTTACAGAAATATTCCGTAACTACGCCTCACGGAATATCTTCAAAAATATTAGAGCTTATTATTATTTTATTTTTTAACAATAATGGTTCTAAGTTGAACTGTATTATACTAAAAATATTTTTTCTTTTACCAACCTATATCAAAAATTTGTATCAACTTTATAATTCTATGTTCAATTAAAAACTCCAATTTTTTTTACATATAGTCAGTTTTTTTCAATAAAAAAAATGTTTTATTTAAAATTTAACAGGTTACAATCATCTTTCAGAAAACTGGTTTCAGGCCCTTGCATAAAGTTAAGGGGCGATCAGAACAATAATTGAAATGGAGGACATGGTGAATTGACACCCTTAAAAATTAATTGAATCTTTTAGAGAAATTATTTTCATAAAAACTTAAAATTGATAGAATACTACTCGATATATTGAGACTAATTGGTAAAAAGCACATGGTTTAATATTAATTATTTTATGAATTATGAAATAATTAGATTAAAACAATATTCATTAAATAAAAACGGCTGCAGCCCGTTTATTATTAACTTCGTGAACAATAAAAAATACATATATATTATATATATATATGTGTGTGTATAAGAGGTATGACACTATGAGTACCAATAAAATATAATAAGCCACAGAGGGAAACAAAATATACGTAACCAGTTAAGGTGATCGCCGGAACGAAACGGATCGCATAATCAGCAATCACAGTCGGCAGCAGCCTTGTCATGATGTCTAAGGGAGGAGATGCACGATGACCACTGATTGTCATCTTAATAGGTGGACGGCTGATATAGAGAGAAACACTAGCAAGCGCATGCCAAAAGAAGGGAGCGGTGCCGTGTCATCCCTTATTAAGATAGATTAATCTACTATCTTTTTAAGAAATTTAAGAAAAAATNAGATTAATCTACTATCTCTTTAAGAAATTTAAGAAAAAATGTTATCTAAATTTTTACAGCTTTGTCAATTCAAAGAAAATATATCATTGCAAAATTCCTTCTAAATAAACTACTGATGTTATAAAATTTTCTCGTTTTCGGAATGTACTTAAAAAATTCACGATCATTATCTACTAGTTCTGTCTTAACGTGACCGTGGATATAGACATATCTAATGTATTATTTCTTTGGTAGTTTTAAATAACATAAAATCCAAATCAGTTTAATTGAATATTTTATTCCAAAAAAGTTAATACAAATGAATTTCATTAAAGTTTAGTGTTTTTGATAATTTTTGTTTTTATAAATTCTACGAGATATTTTGTTTCTATGACAATAACATTATTTATAACTATAATGAGACATAAACAAAGTAAATATATTTATTTAAAGAAATATCCAATAATAAAAATTATTTAAAACACTTTTTTTTGAAAATAAAAACCAGTATTTTTCATAAATATTAACAATAATCTACATTATTTCATGTCAAGTGATTCTTGTATTAATTCAATATCATCCATTTTGTAAAACTCTCTTAAAAAGGTTAATTCAGGCGCATAGTATTTCAACTCTTTGTCTGACTTTTTTTCTATTATAGAGTAATAATTGAGTGTATCGTCCCATTCGCCAATAAATATACAATTTCTTAACACAAATTGCGATGACTTCGTATAGCCCACTACGCATTCATTATTTTTTGTACACAGTGCACTAATTGTCATTGTACCTGGTGTATTAAATTGTTTTTCTATTCCCATAAGTTTACACTTCAAGTTGTTGTCAGGGCTACACAGATCATTCATTGCTAAAATTTAAATAAAAATATTCATGAAATGTACCATAATGGAAAAACAGATGTAGAACAGTCACCAACTTTAAACTAAAACATGTTACTGATATTCATTAAATAAATTTATTTAAATTATTTAATATAAGTGATTAATATTTGTAAAATTTTAATCGTCAAGTACATTTTTTTAAATAGTTTTAATCAGTAAGAAGATCAGAGGTGTAAATAAAGAAAATTCGTTTTATGGATCATTTTATTGAACTTAATGGCAAGACGTGATTGTTTAACAAAAAATAATTGCGATTAATATATTACAGCGATATGAATCTTGAACTAACTAATACATTAAGGTTTACATTTATTTAGGGGAGGTAACATGATACATCCTGGATTTGTCAGTGGGCTAAAAAGAAGAAGAGTACCTTGTTTTTTAAATTTTATTTGAATTAAAAATGGGAAAAATTTTGATTCAAATAAAAAAAAATTATTTACCGTTTTGTATGTAAAGTAAATAACGAATCGCGGGCATAATTATCTGTTTACGATTATTTATGGCATCAATATAATTCAGATTATGTTCTGCAAAACAAATTTCAAAACATAAACTTAGAAAAATTAAAAACATTATCATACACATTAAATGAATTAGATTATAGTAGATTAATTAACCTATTATTTTAGAATAAAATGTACTATAAAATGAGATTAAATTCAATGTATTGAACTATATTAATATATTAGTGGACATCTAGAGGTTGTACAGCTTTGTGCCCCTTTTAATTTTTAAAATTGGGTGGTTTCCAAAATAACACGAGAGAGGACTAAAAAATAAAATCGCATTAGGGTATTTCCCACAAAATTCTTATATAAGTTATGAGATCACTTGGTTTTTTATGAGAATTTTCTATAAAAATAATTTTAAATCTACATAGTGATGGCAAATTGACCCATCTCGGATGTACGCAGTAACAAAAAATGGAAGAAAGTAAAGCAGTCATAGACAAAGAAGGGTTATAGTGTTTGATAACAGCCGGAAATTTTGTGCAGTAGCATTTTCATCAATCATGTGTTTAGGCCTACCTAACGCTTGTAGTGTTAACAGTGTAGGGACATCATCACTCAACTCCAGGCAGGACTCGGTATAAGGGATATAGATAGATACACAGTAAGAATAAGTACGTGAAATATTGGAATATTAACTGATAGAATTATTTAAGAGGAGAAAAATTACATTTGTCGTGTGCAGGACACTAATTAGAAAGGAGAGAAAATACGTGAAATAGGTGAGGGTTATAAAGATCAACACAAAGAATGTTTTAGGTACTCAAGGAACTTGTAGATTTTATCAGTGAGAAAGAGATACGAGAGGCTGTGGCATCAATGAAGAAGAATATAACCAAATGAAGTGCTAATAAGAATATGGAAAATATTAGTCAGTGTTGGAATAAGGTGGTGGAAGGAACTTTTTAATAAATTCCAATTAAAGGGAAAATTCCAAAAGAATGGAGGAACAGTATTCTGGTGTCGATAGTTAAAGGATATATAGAGAAGTGTGTAAACAATAGAGACATTATCTTATGAGTCATAGTATGATGAGTTGAGAAAAGGTAATAGGTAAGAGAATAAGAAATGAGACAACGATTCTCAAATCCAGTTTGGATTTATGCATTGTTTAAGTCAACAATGGAGTAATTTTTTTGTGTAAGGCAATTAATAGAAAATTATAGAGAAAAGAAGACATATCAGTGTATGGTATTTATAGATTTGAAGAAAGCTTATGATAGAGTACCGAGAGAGATTTTAAAGTGATCATTAATGAGAAAAAGAGTACCGAAAAGGTACATTGATATAATATGTATATATACATAATATATATGTGTGATGGCACTTGTACCAATGTAAAAAATGTGGGTGGAGTAATACAAGATATTAGGGTAAGAATAGAAGTGCACCAATGTTCTGCTTTAAACTCGTACATTAGTGTTAATAGGAGAAAATAGAGAGGAAATCAAAGCTTATTAGAACAGTTATAGAAATTAATGTGAAAGGAAGAAGAGGTAGAGGAAGATCAAAAAAGAAATGTAAGAATGTTATTAAATACAATATGAGAGATCGTGTGAAAAGGAAGTTTAGGATAAAGGTTGCTGACTCTAAGATGGAATAAAGGCGAGAAAAAAGAATAAAAAGATAATGTATTAATTCTTTGATGTATCAAAGTTTTATTAATATATATATATATATATATAACTAAGGGAATTATATATTTTCATGTTTAACTAAATTTATTATTTAATAAGGTCTTACCACTTTCGAAAACTTGATAATTTTCAACTAAAACAGCTTTGTTAAAAAAACAAAAAAATTAACTACAGTTTTATGTATGTAGATATCGGAGGAGGATCTTGGCTTAAAACTTAAGTGGTATAAAGCTTAAGCTAATAAAAATTATAAATTTATTAGACTCAAGTAATCAAAACTTTAACTACGAAAAATAGTTATTCTGTAATACAATGTTTTAAAATTTACGTGTAGTTTTCTCAAATTTTTATCATTTTTCTAAACATATACATACATATAAATTTCCTATTACTTTTCAAAAACTCCTAACCCACATTCAAGTTAAATAGTACTATTATATTTCCATTTTAATAAGGTTTGGAATGATTTTTTAAAGAAAAAAAACCCTTCAAATAATGTTTGATAAATATTAAATCAGTTTTAAAATTTACAAATAACCTAAGTAATTATCATCTTACTATAATGTTTGTTAACAATTATTCGAAACATTTTTTCTTTTTTTATTATATGTGTTATGTATTTTTCTGAAAGTATAATAAAAAAGTTAAAATATAATTATGTTAAGAAATACTTAGAATCTATAAATATTAATAATAATATTAAAGAAGATTATTGAACACTCGTTTATAAATAATTAATAAATAAAATTTACATTGATATAGAACAATTAAAAATGATTAAGCTAATAGCTTAGTCACTACAGCTACCAAAGTATTAAAAACAAATTAATTTTATGATGACAATACATTATAATCAAATTTATTTGAATTGTTATTTAATTAAAATTAATATAATGAACCCATTTAGAATTTTTTTGAATAGCGAAAAAAAATTACCTGCTTCTATGATTTGCTCTATTTCTGTGAAATTAAATACAAATTTACTAAATAATTTTCTTAAAATTGTACAATAATATCTGTACATCAGAAGTAAACTATTTCAAGTCATATTTTTTAGAAATTAGGTGAAACTAGTCTATATATTTTTAAAAAGTAACTTTAAATAGTTCGCAACATTTGACAGACATTTCTTTTTCTATTTCCTGGCCTTTATCCCATTTTTTTAATGTCAGCCACCCTTATCCTAAACTTCCACTTGACCCTAGTACTGTTTAACAAAAGTCTGTTACCAAATTTTACTGAATTTGATTCAGTAGATTTGATAAAATTTTGTTGATATTTTACTGAGTACAAATGGTACCCAATTTAAAACAGTTTATCTATGAATGACTGAGATAGAAATTTTAAAAGTATCATTCCTTTAATTTATTAATTTTGATTAATATTAGAGTATATGAAAAGTAGTAACTGCAATTTATAATATTCAAAAAATAATTTAAATACTTACTTAATGGAATCAAAATCATTATCAGTGTTTCTGAAATTAATATTATTTTTAAAGACTCAAAATAAATATCGGAAGTTATTTTTTAAAGAACAAATAAAATTTTCAAAACGTCGTTAACTTAATATTACTTTTATAGAAAATTCTTATACAAACGATACCACTAATTATATTATTTTAAATTTTAGTTTGTTTTTCAAAAAAAAAAACCGAGTATTCCGAGAGAACTCCTCGGAAGAGTAGGAGATGTTAGCAACTGAGTCTTCAGAACAACGGACACCGGAGAAACAGATGTTGCAAAAAGGGCCAAGTGTATCTGTGAAAGTTTTGGGGCCACTCGGTCGTTGGAAGTGGTCGCGCAGCAGATGGATCATGCACCAAACAGGTGCGTACGGGTCTTGACGATCGTGTTGGAGTTTTCTTCAGGGTCATAGCGTTGCTGGATACGCAATGAATCATCCCAAAATCGCGGAAAATTATGAGGTAAAATGGCAGATGGTCATACTTACCCAGTATATGGTAGTACATAGTTACGGCACAAATTGCGGGTTTAGACGTCAGGCTAAAAGCATTAGTATTCGACAATTTGGCAAACTACATCATTTTGGGTCAAAATTTTATGGTGGACCAACAGTTACCAGTCGATTACGGTGCGAGGACTACTTGCCTTAGCTCTCAACGTCCAGCAACCTTAAAAGAGTCATAGTTACTCCTTGCCGTCTGGTGGGACAACCACCTAACCCATCCCAACACAACACTACGAATCTGATATGCTTAGCCAAAAGCATCAAGATTCGCCTATTTATCAGTGTTAGCAGAGCCAACCTGGACTGGACACGATCGACGCGAACATCTCTCTGTTTTTGCCTGTTATATAAAGAACATCACGTCCAGAATATGACAAGATTGCTAAAAGCTTCAATTGAATTGTTAAAATCGTTCAAGAAATGAAAGAACTCAAAATCGTGGAACCAAGTACTTCGGCATGGGCGTATCGGTAGTATTAGCTGTAAAAAGGTACTGAACAGACATCTGAATTTAATGACTGAGTCCGACGCTCATTTGATGCCAAATCTACATGAACTTGTATAGGGATTTGAAATCAGGTTACTGATTGATAAGTTTGGATAAAGAAACTAAACCACTGACAGCGTTTTGCACTGCACATAAACTATACTAGTTTCGGGTATAGCCGTTTGATCTTAAAAAAACACCAGCCACATTTCAAATGTTGTTCAACGAGGTCTTCCAGGGTTACGTGGGTAAGTTTGTGTTAGTATATTTGGATGAAGTGATCATATATTCTAACACGATGGAAGAACATTTAGTGCATCCAACAACTCATTGGAACTGATTATCTTCCTAGAACTCATAGTCGAAGGGACTGGGATTGATCACGTTACGCTGTATTCAAAAATTATTCTGCCCGAGAAAAGTAAAGTATGTTTCAAAGTTTCTCGAAGTTTGCAGTTGATACAACTAGTTTGTACCTGACTGTGCGGTAAATACCACCCCATTAACTGATTTGCTTGTAATCGGTAAATGTTTCCTCTCAGTCGCTGGACTGAAAGGAAACATTTACGACAAAATAGACACTGATCAACTCAGATAATTTTCCACCAATAGATTTCAATAGACCGCTTTGCTACAGACAAACGCCCGCGAACACGGATTGACGCTGTCTTTTTCAGGGGGAAAGTCGGCGGGTAACCATACCCGGCAAGTGATCACTTACAGCAGTAAGAAATTAAATGCAGCTTAGTCTCATTACTCGGCGGTTGAAAGGAAAAGTTTAGACATTTTTTGGACAATAAATAAATTCAGTTATTTAATTTCATATTAAGAGTCGTCTCACTTCAAGATGTTGACGGAAAATACAACATTGAAGAGGTTAGTGTACTCTTGGGACAACAATAGTAAGCTGACACGCTGGGTACTACAGCTAGGTAGTTTTGACTTTTCAGTTACCCACATTGCCAGAATTCATAATGAAGCGGTGGATGCGTTATCTCACCGCCCGTAAGAAAACTCATTAGTTGACTAAGAAGAGCTGGACAAGCAATTTCAAGGACCACCTAGGATTGTCAGCAAAGGTACCTGAAAGAGACGACGAAGTTATATCAGATAGCAGACGTATACTTTATTCAACACCAAATTAGGAAAGCGCAGGAAAATAAAGAGTTTACTCAGGGAGTTTTGGGAAAGAGTACCTTATAACAGCAGGAGTTACACGGATTATAAAGTTATAAACGGACTACAAAGCCGTTCCGGGAAGCCTAACAAACGGGAGTAGTATCAGTACAACCAAAAGTTTTCATCGATCAGGTGTTATGGCATTAGCACGACAACAAAATGGCCAGCTACCCGGAATGGAAGTAGACCTATCGGGCTATACGTTCACGTTACTACTGGCCAGATATACGGGAAAGTATAAAGAAGTACGTGTTGAAATGTCATATATGCGCTTGTGTTAAGTCGATTAACCACAAACCAGAGTATCACGTCAGCCATGGGAAGTGTTCAATGTCAATTTAATAGGGCCCTATCCAAGGATTGGATGTGGTAAGACGAATATTCTGATAGTCATCGACTGCTATAATCAGTTGATGGAATCGAACCCTATTGAAAAGGAAACCATCCAAATTATAGCCGACACTCGAAAAGGAACTATTGTTGTTTGTTTATGCATGGGCATTGCTTATCCATAACGGCTAAGCATTTGTATCAAAGGAGATGAAGAAGTGTCTATATCAGTGGGGAACAGATTATACATTATGTTACGTGACAAAAGCCACCACTCCTGGGACATACAGTTTTCCACAATGCTCTTTGCACTATGTAATAGGAGAAATGAGTGCACGGGGCATACTTCGTCGGAATTGATAATGAGACAGGACACAAAAGCACCGGGCGATTGGGTAGCAGGTGCCCACTCTTTAGAAACACTCTCTTCCTTTCAGTGGTACCCGGTAATACTCCGTTTTTTACAGGTGACTGGGTATATTACCGGACACACCCTCTGTCAAACGCATTGAGGGGGTTTCATGCAAATTTTGTCGTCAAGTGGATCGAACCAGTGAGATTAGGGATGTCCCTGGGAATAAGGGTATTTTTTTAAGAATCCTGTATAAATGCACTACTTTCAAATTAAACCAGAAAAAAGGAGGAACAACCCTGACAGATTAATTTTTCGTAACAATATACGGCACTGCCAGTTTCGACTACCTAGATCAATAGCCCAGGAAGCCACCAATCTGATTGAAAGGGCGTTTAAAAAGATGAGGAGTTGTGGTGACAATGGTGGCTCGAGGTCAGCTTTCCGTCGTCGAACCTATTGGGCATCCACTGCACCGCTTATCGAAATATGCGAAAACGATAAGTTTTGCCAATTATATTAAGCTGGAGAGACTGTGAGAAGGCCACAAAGAAAAAGGAGCCAAGGGAAAAGGCCACAAAAGGCAACACATTGATAGAGAAAACGCTAAACAGTAGCCTGCCCTTCGACAAAAAAATTGGGAAGTTAAGGGACATTCAGAATCCTGGGAATCAAAAGGTTAACGTAGCGTAAGACACTAACGAGTATGCGATGGCCGATGGTGTGGAGTAAATATCCAAAACTGGCCACAGCGTCCATAACATAACATCAGTGATCATTTTAGGAAGTGGTTATTTTTAGCACGATCCACCATTGGCTAACACCGACCACGTCTATTTTCGTTCTGGACGACCGGGTAACGTGACACGGATAAGTCCTAATGTCTATTAATCAAAAGTAAAATAAAGTTCAACACTAATTTTGACGGCACTGACCAGTTTGAGGGTATATTTAGTTATTACAATAGAACATCAAAAAAAGAAAACCAAAAAAAAAACATTACCGTAACTGTTACGGTAACGTTTTTTTTTTTTTTTATTAGGAATATCAATAGTGTTACACCGTAACACTATTGATGTTCCGTTAGTTTATAAACTTATTAAGAAGTAGATTAAGAGTATCGTAACAAATTAATTTTCAGAGAAAAATGTGGACAAATATGAAGATTAGAATGCGTATATGGACGTAAGATGTCAAAAACCGGAGAGAGCATTCACCGCCGGCGCTCCAGTAGATAGACTTTGCACTCTAGCCAGATACTAGGGGTACTCTAGGCTCGCGATGTAATAAGGCGGCTGATGAAAGAGATTTGGTGACCGTGTATTAAACGTATAGTAAAATATATGGTACCGTGTTATACTACCCACTAGTTACACGATTAAGCAATCGAACTGAAACAGTTTTAACCAACAATTCAAGTATGTCAAACTTAAAGTTGATCTCGAATGTTTGTTTACCTAGGGGTATATTTTAGCAAAAAAAAAACTCTTATGTTGTTGTATTTTAAGTGGTGTGTTTTTAGGGTGGTTTAAATATTGCAATTTTTATTGATTGTTATGATAAAGGAAAGGGAAAGATTAAATGGCTGGGTCGTTAAATTGATGAGAAGAGGATAAAAGGGTAAATTAAATCAAGTCCTGGATTTCTTGTCCGAAGTTATTGATATTACTGATATATTGACGACTGCATCCTCGTCTACCTCCATGGCTGATCGAGTTAGTTCTTCGTCTATTGGGGAGGTATCAGTTATTGTTACAGGCTACTGGGAACGTTTTTGCAATCAATGTTTTTTGCCTCCACCTTTCTTCTGGTTTTTTTCATCATCCATTGTCGGAATTCTTTTTGACGGCTAGTGGATTTTGCCTTTTGGGCAAGAGTGCGGTGTTTCTTGGTGATGGGATCTTGGTTTGTCTTTTGAGGATTTGCTGAAGTGGTTCATTGAAAAGTTCTCCGGGCGTTTGAGGCCCCGTCTTTTACCTTTGGTTCAGTTGTTTTGGGGATGGAACTCAGCTGCGCTGGTCTATTATCATGAGGTAATGACGGTCTAAATGGTGTTAGTCCAACGTACCGGTGTGCTTTTTGTTGAAGGACAAGGAGTGGTTGGGCGGGGGGTCAGATTTTTATACTTATCAATGATGGTATAAATAGACCGCGAAGATTTAAAAAGGGTTGTGATGTGTGCGTGTGTGATGGTTTACTTTGAGCAAGGTCAGTGTTAGTTATTGGATTCAAAAGGTTCAACAAGGCTGGTTATCCATGGAGGTAGCTATATTTTTTTCAGGAAGTTGCTGTCTTGAACTTAGTTCAAAAGTGTGGGTAGCTCCTTGGCATTGTTGTCCCCATTCTCCCATCCCCGAAGGAGTATGTAACTCGTCATTGGATTAGCTATCAGCTCTTCGTCAGTTGCAGACATTACTTCTTCGAGGTTGAGGAAGAGAAAATCAGTTAACGATAAGACAGCCTTTACTGCCACAGAGTTTGACGACTTTGCTTGTTAAGCTCAACCAAACGAAGTAACAGGAGGTCTACCGTCTCCCTACCAGTAAAAGAGAAGGTTGTTTTGTCGTCGTCCATTTTTTTCTAAGATAAACAGAATTGCATAAATAATTAAAAAGTAAGTCATTAGCTTAATCATCAGCTGTAATATGTCATACTTTTTAGTATTTATGCGCGGGATTAGGACAAGAAACATGTACTTTGATCAGTAAGAAAGACCCTTTGATCGAGTTTTTCCTTTAGTCTAATCGGGCACTACAATTTTAGTGAAAAACCTGCATGAAATTTTTTTTCACGCTCTTGTCGTGGGTAATTAATTTTTATTATTTAGTTAGACTCATCGTATAGTAAAGTCCAATCATCTGGACGCGTGTTTTTTCTACCCAGAACTAAAACAGAGAGAAGGTACTCTGTTCGTTTGTTTCAACGATTACTTATAGCAAAAATAATGGGAGGAATTTGTAAGTCCCAAAAGCTGTGACTTCCTGTTGTATTTTAAAGAAGTATAATGTTAAAACTCAGTATAATGTTTACTGTATAATATACAATGAATATTGAAAAATTTTAAAACTTCTTTTTAAAAAAAACTTTTTTTACCACAAAATATTTAGCTTCATTAAAATATAAGTAATTTTAGTTAGTTGATAGATTTAATTATATGAAAAATACTCTTAACTTATAATTTTCAAGTACTGTAATTACCATAACTTCTATCTTTGTAATGTAAAACTAATGATCGTATCGTTTCGTAAAATCCTAAAAAAAAAAAAATAATTCCATTATATTTTATTACTAGAAAAATATTTATGGAATTTTTAGAAATAAATATATCGTTACTGTCCGACTCTGCATATCTTATAATTTGACCATCTGTAAAAGTTAAATTTAAAAATAAATTTGTATAAAATATCAAAATGACATTAAAATGTCTAAAAGTTAAAATTTTTTAACGAAAAATCAAGCACTATATAATGTATGAATAGTTAAAATATTAAAGTTGCCAAAATAAAAACAAATCAATGAAAAATCTATGAAATAGAGCAAAATTATAGAATATAGAAAAGAAAAACTTATATTAGAACTTTTCGCATCTATTAAGCCTACCTTGATTATTATTCTATCTGTTTGAGAATTACATAATGTTGTTCGATTCAAATGGATAAAACTTTTAACTTAAATAATTTAAGAAAGTCAATAGTTAAAATACATGACATTATTTTCTTTTTTATAAAACAATGATAAACTTGGATAAAACAATTAATAAGACTCAACAATGTTGGCCAATTTACAACAATTATCGTAACTGTTTGTCGTATACATTCTTTACTGAGTTAGTTTCACAAAAATTAAGGGTTCCAATTAACAGCTATTATTATTCACATAACTTAACATCATATCAGTATTACAGATAATCTGTCTTAGGTTATAAAATTTAATAATTAAAGTCAAGAGGTTATAAGATATTTAGTGTATATAAATATAAATGTAATATAATATGGAGTGATTTATTCACTGGTGCATTTCCAGGTCCATCAACTATTTTATTGCTTCTGGTGTTAAAACGTGAATTCCTTTGATATCCTGATTGAATTTTTTCCATTTACACTGTACTATAATGTGATTTATGATTTGTCTATCGCTACTACAGTCACATGCTGGTTTTTTTTGGTGTAGCCATTTTAAAATCATGTTATCGTAGCGACCATGGCCTGTTCAAAGGTGATTTAGAACAAACCTATTTAGGTAGTACCATTCCCTTACTTTTTGATTGGAATCAGGCACTAAAAGTTTGGTATAGTTGATTTAGTCCACTCGTTAAGTCACCAGTTATTAATTTCACACTCTGATCTTATTAGGTCTTTGGCAATATTTTAGGGAAGTTTTTTTGATTTTAGTCTTAGTATTGAGGCATCATCTACTTTTTCGACTAATGTAGAACTCTTCTTGACCTCAGTTTTCATAATAATTTATCAAGTGTCTATTTTCTTCGTAGATCTATTGAATATATCTTGCCACTAATCACTCTCATTACGCCACGCAATTTTTAATATCTTTAACATGATGCTCAACAATGATATAAGAAGGTAATCTGCGGCTTCGCAACCGTTCTTCTTGCAAATGCTTTCGATGGTTTAAATTGTTTTGATAGTTTTGCAGACTCTATAATATCATTATAAAATGTATAAGTTTGTAGGCCTGCGCATTTAAAAAAACTCAAAATATACCCCATTAAAGCCCACAATTTTGTTAAGTTTGAATTTATTGTATGGTATACCTCATTTTGTGTGAAATCAAGACCTAATGTTCAATGCAATATAAACATTTTCGTGTAGTTCTTTAATTCTGTTTTTATTATATATTTTTGTTCTTTGTCTTCTGAAACTTTTCCCGCGCTTATTAATATAGTTGCTACGCTATTTAGTCTAAATAAGATCAGCATACATATTTCTTGACATGGTTTGAATCACCCAGATTTTTAAGACTCCATGCTTTATGGTTAGAATGGATAAAATCTAGGTTTTATATTTATACATATTATCGTTGTCTTCTTTTTACATTTAAATTGTTAATTAACTCATTCATCACAAAGTTATCTTATATTCTTTGAAACTCTGTGAATAGCTCATGACCCGTTTCCAACATGGAATGAACTGATTTCTGAAACCTCTGTATATGTATTTTTTTGCTACTAGTTTTATCGCTCCACGAATCATTTATAGCTTTCTGTTTTTGCTGAAATCCATTATACTATATATTTTAATTCTTTAGCGAATACTTGGACGACTCCAAGTAGTTGGGATTAAGGCGAGCAAGAAGAAGAAGATTCTAATTCTTTAACGAATTTAGCCCAGTTAGCTTTTCTGAAATTCTATCTTAGTTTTAAAATTGATTAATTTATTTTAACGTTTAAGTTATGATCTATAATAACCAGTGGATGATGAATACATGGACGCGGCGCAATGCCAACTGTATAAAATCATGTGGGATTTTTGGAAATTAATTATTGCCTGTAAATATACAAGTTAGCATTTAAGATTGTTTCCATTTTCTAGAGAAACACACTTTAATAGCTGTTCTTGTTTTCCATTAGGTACTAAAATTACTTTGACACTCATATTTAAATTGTTTATAAAATTAGAAAATCTTATCATCTCGGTGGAGAGTAAATGGATTTATGTATTTCTAATATTTTTCTTTAATAAAGACGCTACTTTCTTTTTGGCTGCAGTTCTGACTATATCGACGTAATGACTTTAGACACTGCAGCTAACATCATAGCTGCTTTTATGTTTAAAATACTGGTTCAATCACATTAAGCAGCTATATTATTATCGAAAGTTTTTATATTATTTTTCAGTCTTCTTCTATCACAATAATACTCTAAATTTAAACTCATAGCATATGTGATGCTGCTAAGTAAACTTTATGATGATTTTAGTATTATCGATTAAAAATATTTTTTATTACTTGTCAAAATTAATGGAGTAATAATTGTCACTTCTGAAATAACTGGTGCTACCTCATTCTCAAGTTTTTTTTTTTTGCTTTATTGTCCATTAAGGCCTTTTGCAGCTTCTACTAATCCCCTTTTCCTGTTACATATTTATTATCATATTTATGTCTTATAAATAAAATTAAAAAAATATCAAAGGAATAAAAATAATAAAAGTTAAAAAAAAACATGATGTTAAGAAATATAAATTTTATTAGTTTTACCATTTAATTGAATTTTTCGATTTATTAATCTGTCTAAAAATAAATTAATATTATTATACAAATAAAAATTGGATATTGTAAGTATAAAAATATAAATTTATATCAATAACTTAGCAAAATGTATTTAGATTGAATAATTAGTTCAGGTGTTAAAATATTTCTTGTTATTACTATGTAAGTAATACAATTTAATTTCTCTAAATAGATTAACAAAAAAATGGATATTTTGGAAAATATTCCATATTTTATAAAAATGAACTACTTTTTTCGAATACTTCAATATAAAAAGATTTATAACATTTAAAATATACAGAGTGATTTTTTTATCATAACCCACTCAATTACTTACAGAATAATAATAATAAAAAAATTTTTTTTATTATTATCTTTCGTTACACTNTAAAAAATTTTTTTTTATTACTATCTTTAGTTACACATTATTCTTGAATTATTAACTATGTAATACTTTTTAAGTTCATCCCTTATGCCTGGTAAGGGTGTCAACTTTGTTTTTTTAAATGGTAACACATTTATAATTTTATAAAATGTTTGAGTTTTTAATTCAATAGTAAATGGCATTTGAATTTTTAATAAAACTTAATTTGTTTATTAGATATAAACATTTAAAGTTTCAAATTTTTGAGTTAATAAATAGGTATAATACACAAGGGATTACAAATACATGTAGCTAATTGGTTTTTTATGATATTGCTATCACAGTCACGATTGTTTATTATCAATTATGACTATCAATAGATATACTTTTTGTATTGTCAGTTAATGTATTTATAAACTCACAACAATGTACCTTACTATCATTGATAATAACAATGCTGTGTACCTGCTAATATCGATGTCATAAAAAACCAATTAGCTACCTGTATTTGTAATCCCTTGTGTATTATACCTATATATTAACTCAAAAATTTGAAACTTTAAATGTTTATATCTAATAAACAAATTAAGTTTTATTAAAAATTCAAATGCCATTTATTATTGAATTAAAAACTCAAACATTTTATAAAATTATAAATGTGTTACCATTTAAAAAAACAAAGTTGACACCCTTACCAGGCATAAGGGATGAACTTAAAAAGTATTACATAGTTAATAATTCAAGAATAATGTGTAACTAAAGATAGTAATAAAAAAAAATTTTTAATTATTATTATTCTGTAAGTAATTGAGTGGGTTATGATAAAAAAATCACCCTGTATATGAATAATCTACATATAAATCTATCAAACCTCGAAAAAAGAATTTCAAAATATGTATTTTGTTATACAAAGTATACTTTTACTCACTACACCAGATATGTGTAGAACTCCTTTTAATTTTAAAATAAGCAATTTATTTTTGAATGAAAATTTACGATATTTTTGGAATAAATCATAAGGTATAGATCAGAACTTAACATTGCAAATTTATTGCATTAAAACTATTCACAAAAATAATCTCTCAATTTTTACCAATAATTGGTAACGGATTACAAAAATGGGATAAAATATAACATAGTTTACTATCTCATATATTTTTAAACTTAAATACACCCGAATACAAATATTTTAATTTTATTACAAAATAAAACATTTTGTTCTAGCAGGATAAAAAGACAAAATGTTTACACAATTTATGAATTTTTTAGAAAAATGTAAACTGAATATAATTTGTCTCATTTTCAATAAATTCAGGTAACCACTTATTTCCACGAAATTTTTCTGGGAAAATTATGGTGAGTTAATTTTTACATTTAATTATAGTTAGCAGTACTTATATAACACTATATAAATAGTAAAGTAATTGTTTTTTTCATTTGAAATGTTAATATGATAATTATGCCCTCAAAAAAATTTGTATAGAAAAATCCTCCTCGATTGTATGGTTTTAAAACAAAAAAGACAGGAAGGGTTAAATTAAACAAATTATATTATATAGCTTACTGGTCCACTCAATTGTACGTGCTGCCTCTATAAAAAACATTTATATGAAAAATATCAAATTATAAACTTTAATTCAGTATATATATTATTTACAAAAATTCTATGACATTGACAATTGGTGGAATACATAAAATCTCTACGATGTAGTGAAGTGTAAGGTATTATTGAATAAGTTATTTAGTGCCAAAATATTATAAAACGACACGCATTCCCCTCAGTATAAGTTGGTTCGTGTTGATGAAAGACCAATACGTCCTGCAAGTTTTTTCTTATTTTTTATAGTTTTTCGGGAATATTCGATCAGCTATTATGCATTTACTTTGTAACACATTTAATCCATATATTTTAGCTTCGATGCGAAACTGAAAAGGTATTAATTTTACTATGACGTTTTTTTTTATTTAGTTTTTTAATAATTTATTTTTTGTGTCTATTATCACTTTTTCTCAGCTCTCACCGAACCGATTTCTTTCAACGATACGTCAAAAGATCACAATCGCATCTAATCGAAGACATTACCCTTCAAAATTGAAAAAATTTCCCTCGTTCAACGTAAATGGGAGAAACCTCCAAAAAAATTACAAATTTAAAAATCGTTAATTTTCGAGATTTTTTCAATTTTTTTTCTTAAAACTGCTATTACTTTTTCAAAAATGAACAGATCAATATAATTTTTTTTTATATAGATGGTTGATGTCTTTAGTTATCATTTGGTATATTTTTTTTGTAAATCTGACACTTAACCTGCCCACAGGGGGGGATTTAAAATGACAACTTTTTCACAAAAAATTAATTTTTTCAACTTAACTTTTGAAAATGTTTCGGAAATACTGACACTTTTATATATATCTTAAAACTTATGTAATAACTTTATTATGCAAAAAAAAAAATTTCGGACTTTATTTTGTCTTCACGGTGAAAATGGCTACCGAATGCTATTTTTGAAAATTCTGGATTTTATATTTTACATTTTTAACTTTATAATGCTATTATTGAAAAGTGTATGGATCAATACAATTTTTTTGCTCTTTCATTTAACATACTTTTTTTTAAATCGTATATATATATATATATATATATATTCATATATTACACTTATAAATCATAAAACTTGTAATCAGGATATAAATACGGAAATAGGAAATCATATAGCTTTTTGAATAATCCATCAATTTTTTAAAATTAAACACTTTCTACAGATTTGCATTGAAAGGTTTTTTATACAAATGATTTTAATCACTGTCAGATATCATTATACTTGATCCAACTATGCCACATTCCCATTGTGCCGCGACCCCACTGTGCTGGATTTTTTTTTCTTTTTGTCAATTACCACTTTTTCTCAGCTTTTACCAAACCGATTTCTTTCAACGATACTTCAAAAGATCACAAATCGAATCTAGTCGAAGACATTACTCTCTAAATTGAAAATTTGAATGATAATAACGCAATAAAATAGTATGGACACACGGTTGTATGTTTTCACAACATTATACAAAAAGTTAATTTCCAAATTACAACAACAGTACGGATAAAGATATTGTATTTTCCTTCAATGATTAAGAAATCATTTATCAATGATAAACCTTTAGTTTGTATATCATTCCCAAATTTAAAATAACTTTTACAATGACATATAAAAAAAACCTACTTAAAGTATAAAACCTCAATTTATGTTATTTAATTATATTTACCTATTAAATCATTCTTAACTGTCTCAGTGAATCCTTTTAAAATGTACATATTGAAAATAACTATGGTAAAAAAGCTGATAACATTTTTTTTACTTGTCATTTTAATCTATAAAATTATAAAAAAAATGTCAAAACTAACAACTGTGACAAAATTTATAATTGAGATCTTAAACTATTGACCAATATTTTAAATTTATTTACTTAAAGTGAAGCGGAGACACTTTAATACTTGACAATTTCGTCTCAAAAATTTGTTCTGTAATATCTTTAAATAATGAGCAAATTGATATTTTTAGAAACACATAATATTTTATCTTTAAGCAATTATTATACATTAATTTAAGTAAAGTAAAATATACAGAGTGATTTTTTTATCATAACCCACTCAATTACTTACAGAATAATAATAATAAAAAAATTTTTTTTATTATTATCTTTAGTTACACATTATTCTTGAATTATTAACTATGTAATACTTATTAAGTTCATCCCCTATGCCTGGTAAGGGTGTCAACTTTGTTTTTTTAAATGGTAACACATATTTTTAATTTAATAAAATGTTTGAGTTTTTAATTCAATAATAAATGGCATTTGAATTTTTAATAAAACTTAATTTGTTTATTAGATATAATCATTTAAAGTTTCAAATTTTTGAGTTAATATATAGGTATAATACACTTGTGATTGTAAATACAGGTAGTCATAATTGATAATAATCAATCCATGACTTTGACAGCAATGTCATAAAAAATCAATTAGCTACCTGTATTTGTAATCCCTTGTGTATTATACCTATATATTAACTCAAAAATTTGAAACTTTAAATGTTAATATCTAATAAACGAATTAAGTTATATTAAAAATTCAAATGCCATTTACTATTAAATTAAAAACTCAAACATTTTATTAAATTAAAAATATGTGTTACCATTTAAAAAAACAAAGTTGACCCCCTTCCAAGGCATAAGGGATGAACTTAAGAAGTATTACATAGTTAATAATTCAAGAATAATGTGTAACTAAAGGTAATGAAAAAAAAAATGTTTAAATTATTATTATTCTGCAAGTAATTGAGTGGGTTATGATAAAAAAATCACCCTGTATATTTTTCATTTTATAATATAAATTACATAATACTTAGTACATAATAAGACTTATTATAACATTTAATGTTATAATATATATATGCAATGGCGGGATTACGGGAAGGGTGGGGTTAAACGAGTCTGAACCGTCCCCAAGGAGCTGTTGCATGCATTAATTATTGTGTACAATGCATAAATTTGAAAATATCTAATATCAAATTTATTTTTTTATTTTTCCATAGTTAATATAGTTTTGAAAAATATTCCACCGTAACTGTGATTCCTAATAATCGAATATGTTACGATTATAATTTTTTTTTTCTGTGTATTTTGAAATTACTTTCTTCCCAAGGGACGATTATTATACTATTTATGTTATTTTATTTTTTTAAATTCCGTGAACATTCATTTGAACAACAACATTTAGCATAAACGTTATTTCTCCGATAGAATTATAAGAAAAGTTATTAAGTACTAAGTAATATTTTTTTAAATAAAATGTATGTAAAAAACAATCCTCTATTCAAAATGTTTTTTTTTAAATCTATTAAAAAGACTAATGATGTCTAAATAAATGTTGGAAGAAAATTTATCTGTTAAAAGAACTTTTCAGTATTGTGATATTAGTACAAAAAAACTAAATCAGATTGTGGAAACCCAGTTTCGTCATTAACTTATAATTACTATGATATTAGTTTATTTTGCAACAAAATACTTTGCAAAATGATATTGATAATGTTTAAAAATAAAATCTGGATACCAGTAATAAATTTTAAGTTTTAAATTTTACATTTTTATACTAAATGTAAACAAGTTGCAGAAAATAAGAACAAAATCAAACAAATATTTGAAGCTATAATCTTATACGGGTGTCAAAACATTCTTCTGCATTAAACAACTATCATCGCAATGACCATAGTTGTTTAACTGTTACTAAATTTAAAATTTTTAATGAATTCTCCGTTTTCGAGCTCAGGGAGATTCTAACTTAAAAATGTTTTTATAAATTGAAAGGCCTATTAAATATATAAGTAAAACTAGTAAAAATACTATTTAAAATCTCGTAATTCAGTACTACTCCAAAAAATTATAGCGCAAGTAAAAAGAGCTAAATGTTTTTCAATAATGAAACATCTGATGAACATCAGATATATGAGAAATTGAACAAATTTCTCTCTGTGTCATTCGTTTATTTACCTAAACTTGTTTTTTGTAAAGAATTTTTATAATCTGTACCAGCTGAAGATTTAACGGGAAAAGGTTAATCTATTACAATATTAGAAATCCTATAACACAGGTTATGACGGGGCTGATCTCCACACCTCCAGCCATTGATTAATTTGCTCCCTATTTTCTCCTATTAACACTATTAATGAGATAGGGATGAGGACGTACAGAAAATAAATAATAAAAACTAATTTCTTGAATATTATATGTTGCAGTATATTACTTGACATAAAGCGAAAAAAAATTCTTATACAAATTTTTTTTTTAACATTTTTGACATCGTTGGTAATATTTTCAATGGTCTATGTCATTATCAAGCGAGTAGTCGAACTGAATGCCAAAATAAAATTAATCATATATACGGAGTGATTCGCTTATCTTAACCCATTCAGTTACTTACATAATAAATATAATTAAAATTTTTTTTTGGTAATTTTTAGTTAGACATTATTCTTAAATTATTAACTATGTAATACTTTTTAAGTTTATCCCTTATGCGTTGTAAGGGTGTCTACTTTGTTTTTCAAAATGGGAACACATAATTTGAATTTAATAAAATGTTTGAATTTTGAATTTAATAGTAAATGACATTTGAATTTTTAATATAACTTTATTTGTTTATTAGATATAAACATTTAAAGTTTCAAATTTTTGAGTTAATATACATGTATAATACACAAGGGATTACAAATACAGGTAGGTAATTGGTTTTTTATGACATTGCTGTCAAAGTCATGGATTGATTATTATCAATTATGACTATCAATAGATACACTTTTTATATTGTCAGTTAGTGTATTTATAAAGTCACAAAATGTGCCTTACTACCATTGATAATAACAATGTTGTGTACTTGCGAATATTGATGTCATAAAAAACCTTGTGGATAAGGGATAAGAATACTTCCATGGCTCTTTGTCAGTCGTCAGAAGCGACTAATGAGGTTGCGTCAGGTCGAGAGCCAAAGTAAAATGTTGTCGAAAAGTATGAAAAGTTCTAAACAGAACTTAGATGGATTGTCCCATCTCGGATGTACGCAAGGACAAAAAGTGAAAAAAAGTAAAGCAGTTAGAGACGAAGTCAGGTTATAGTGTTTGAAACCAGGCGGACATTTGTGCAATAGCAGTTTCATCAGTCATGTGTACAGGCTTTTCTAATGCTTGTAGTGTTAACGGTGTAGGGACATCATAACTCAACTCTAGACTGGAATCGTGTATAAGGGAGATACAAAATAAGAATAGGTACGTGGAATTTTGGAACATTAACTGGTAGAAGTATTGAAAAGAAGAAAAGTTTACATTTGTTTTGTGCAAAACACTAAGTGGAAGGTAGAGAAAATATGGGAAATAGGTGATTTGTAAAAATCAATACAAATAATGTTGTAGGTACTCGAGGAACTCGTAGATTTAGTTAGTGAGAAAGAGATATGGGAGGTTGTGGCATTAATGAAAAAGAATAAAGAAGTAGGACTGGATGAAGTGACAGTAGAAGCAAGGAAAATATTAGACGGTGTTGGCATAAGGAAGTTGTAGGAACTTTTTAATAAAATCCTATTAGAAGAGAAAATTTCAAAGGAATGGAGGAATAGTATTCTGGTGCCGATAGTTAAAGCATATATATAGAAATGTGTAAACAATAGAGGCATTAAGTTAATGAGTCAAAGTATGAAGATTTGGGAAAATGTAATAGATTAGAGAATAAGAAATGAGACGATTCTCAAAACCAGTTTGGATTTATGCATTGTTTAAGTCAACATAAAGTAATTTTTTTGTAAGGCAATTAATAGAAAAGTATAGAAAAAAGAAGAAAAATCATTGTATGGTATTTATAGATTTGAAGAAAGCTTATGATAGAGTACCAAGAGAGATTTTAAAGTGATCATTATTGAGAAAAAGAGTACCGAAAAGGTACTTTAATATAATAGAGCATATGTATGATGGCACTTGTACCAAGGTAAAAAATGTTGGTAGAGTAATACAAGATTTTAGGGTAAGAGTAGAAGTGCACCAAAGTTCTGCTTTAAACACGTACATTAGTGTTAATAAGAGAAAATAGAGAGGAAATCAAAGACTATTAAAACAGTTATAGAAATTAATGTTAAAGGAAGAAGAGGTAGAGGAAGATCAAAAAAGAAATGTAAGAATGTTATTAAATGCAATATGAGGATGGCTGATGTGAGTGTAGGTGATGTGAGAGATCGTTTGAAAATTCCAAAGGAATGGAGGAATAGTATTCTGGTGCTGATAATTAAAGCATATATATAGAAGTGTGTAAACAATAGAGGCATTAAGCTAATGAGTCAAAGTATTGTTGTGATAAACAATATATATTGTGATANCTATGTAATACTTTTTAAGTTCATCCCTTATGCCTGGTAAGGGGGTCAACTTTGTTTTTTTAAATGGTAACACATATTTTTAATTTAATAAAATGTTTGAGTTTTTAATTCAACAATAAATGTCATTTGAATTTTTAATAAAACTTAATTTGTTTATTAGATATAAACATTTAAAGTTTCAAATTTTTGAGTTAATATATAGGTATAATACACAAGGGATTACAAATACAGGTAGCTAATTGATTTTTTATGACATCGATATTAGCAGGTGCACAACATTGTTATTATCATTGATAGTAAGGTACATTGTTGTGAGTTTATAAATACACTAACTGATAATACAAAAAGTATATCTATTAATAGTTATAATTGATAATAAACAATCCGTGACTATGATAGCAATATCATAAAAAACCAATTAGCTACCTGTATTTGTAATCCCTTGTGTATTATACCTATTTATTAACTCAAAAATTTGAAACTTTAAATGTTAATATCTGATAAACAAATTAAGTTATATTAAAAGTTCAAATGTCATTTACTATTAAATTCAAAATTCAAATTATGTGTTCCCATTTTGAAAAACAAAGTTGACACCCTTACCAGGCATAAGGGATGAACTTAAAAATTATTACATAGTTAATAATTCAAGAATAATGTGTAACTAAAGATAGTAATAAAAAAAAATGTTTAAATTATTATTATTCTGTAAGTAATTGAGTGGGTTATGATAAAAAAAT